GGCAACTCATTCTATTATCTCCAAACGAGGGTACAGCTCTAAAACTCAGTTTTATAGTTCTGAGGCCGGCTGGTAGTCAGGTTTCCCGAACTCTGTGGTAGCTCTCAGAGAGGCTGATTTCATCAACAGCTGAAAAATATCAGAGTACTAACAGTGCCATGTTGCGTATGGATGGTGTCCCTATTTGTACTTTTGGTGTGCATTGCCAAAGCCACATTGAAGCCCTTTGTTACGGCTTAGGGTTTAATAGTGGAAATGAGGCAATTGCTTGAGCTATAAAACAGTGTACTGAGTACTATCTATGTTTCGAGTCAAGTTCTTTAACAAATTTAAAAATGAATAAAGTAACAAAAACTATAAAACACAAAAAACCACAGTCATCACCAAGTTCGCTAAACCTATCATTCACCAATATTCGTGGTCTTCGAAGTAACTTTTCTTCTGTTGAGTCTTATCTCTTGCAAAGTTCACCAAACCTACTTGCTCTTTGTGAGACTAATTTGAGTTCGGCTGTCTCATCTTGTGATCTTAGTGTTGATGGTTATCTTCCTTTAATTCGTAAAGACTCCAATAGTCACATGCTTGGCCTGGGCATTTACATTCGTAAGAATTCACCCATTTGTCGGGAAACTAGGTTTGAATCCACAGACTACTCTTTTATGCGCTTTCGTTTAGCACCACTTCACTCTATCATCTTTCTCTTTGTTCTATTTCGCTCTCCCTCATCTCAAGACTGCACTTTTCTTGATGTTATTTCTGATTATATTGACCAAGCCCTCATTCTTTATCCATCAGCCAATATTGTTGTTGTCGGTGACTTTAATGTTCATCACACTAAATGGCTTGGCTCTAGTGTCAGTGACTCTGCCGGCATTAAGGCCCACAACTTTTGTCTTTCGCAATCCCTAACTCAAGTAGTCAACTTTACAACTCGCTTTTCAGACAACCCGAATCATTTACCTTCTCTACTCGACTTATATCTTGTTTCTGATCCTAGTCAGTGCTCAGTTTTTTCACACTCACCCTTAGGTGCGTCTGATCATGGTTTGGTCTCTCTAAAACTATTATCTCATTCTTCTTTACCATCAGAATCCCCCTATTATCGTACATCTTACAACTACCTTAAAGCTGACTGGGACTCTTTCCGTGATTTTCTTCGTGATGGCCCCTGGGTAGAAATCTTTCGTCTCCCTGTTGACAAATGTGCTTCTTACATAACTTCGTGGATTCAGGCTGGCATTGAATCCTTTATTCCCTCTCGACGATTCTAGGTCAAGCCTCACTCTTCTCCATGGTTTTCCTTACATTGTGCTGCTGCAATTGCCAATCGAAACCATTACTTCCATATATATCAGCAAAACAATTCTCCAGAAAACAGACGTCTGTTTATTACTGCTAGGAACCATTGTAAAAAGGCTTTGTCTAACGTCAAAGCCCGCTATTCTCAGATCATGAAATCTCGTATTTCATCACAAAAATTAGGCTCTCGTGACTTCTGGAGAATCTTTAATAGTATCAATAATAAGGGCAAGTCTGTAATTCCACTTCTTTTGTATGGTTCAGACTTTGTCACCTCACCTAAAGGCAAAGCTGAATTGTTTGCCAAAATTTTTCATCAATATCATCTCTTGATGCCACTAGTTGCGTTCTACCTGATATAGCCGTCAAACAGGTTGATCCATTCCTCGACATTCGTATCACTCCAGCTTTTGTATCTAAAGTAATTTTCCCGCTTAGACTCTTCTACAGCTTGCGGCCCGGACAACATACCTGTTATAGTCTTGCAGAAGTGTTCTCCGGAGCTGTCGTCTATTCTTTCAAAGCTATTTAACAAGTGCTTATCAGAGTCTTGTTTTCCAGCCTGTAGGAAAGCAGCATCTGTTATCCCTATTTTCAAAAATTCCGGAGAGCGATCTGATTCATCTAACTACCGTCCCATTAGTCTTCTTTCTATCATAAGCAAGGTTTTTGAATCTTTAATTAACAAACACTTAATCTCGAATCTCATAACCTACTTTCTGATCATCAATATGAATTTCGATCTTCTCGTTCTACGGCTGATTTGCTATTAGTAATAACCGATAGGTTTTATCGCGCATTAGATAAAGGTGGAGAGATTAAGGCCATCGCTCCTGACATTTCTAAAGCGTTTGATAAAGTTTGGTATGCTGGTCTCCTCCATAAGCTTTCTTCTTACGGTGTATCTGGAAACATCTCTAAGATTATTGAATCCTTTCTTTCCAATCGTAGTATAAAAGTTGTCCTTGATGGGCAGTACTCTTCTTCTTATTCTGTAACCTCAGGGGTTCCCCAAGGTTCAATCCTTGGCCCTATACTCTTTTTAATTCACATTAACGATCTTCCAGATATTCTCACATCTAAGATGGCATTGTTCGCTGATGATACTACCATTTATTCTTGTCACGATAAGAAGCCAACTCCCTCTGATTGCTTGCAGGGGGCATCTGAGCTTGAAAAGGATCTCACTTCTGCTACAGCATGGGGCTCACAGTGGCTGGTGAACTTTAATTTAGATAAAACTCAATTCTTTTTGGCCAATCGTTATCGCAATAATTTAGACTTTCCTATATTCATGAACGGTAATGTACTCGATGAGTCTCCTACCCTTCATCTTCTAGGATTAACTCTTACTTCTGATCTTTCTTGGAAACCTTATATCAAATCCGTTGCAAAATTAGCATGTGCTAAAGTTGCTTCTCTTTATCGAGCTCGTCACTTTCTTACTTTGGATTCTATTCTCTATCTCTATAAATCTCAAATCCGGCCTTGTATGGAATACTGTTGCCATATCTGGGGCGGATCTTCTAATGATGCCCTTTCTCTTTTAGACAAGGTGCAAAAACGCATTGTAAACATAGTTGGACCTGCTCTTGCAGCCAACCTTCAACCTCTGTCACATCGTCGTAATGTTGCTTCTCTTTCACTTTTCTAAAAATACTATAATGGGCACTGCTCTAAAGAGCTAGCGTCTCTTGTGCCATCTACCAAAATTCATTCTCGTGTTACTCGTCATTCAATTAAGTCTCATCCTTTTTCTGTTACTGTTTTTAAGTGCTCTAAAAACTCTTATTCCTCTAGTTTTTTTCCTCGAACAACAGTTCTTTGGATTTCACTTCCTTCATCTTGCTTTCCTGATTCATATAATTTGCAATCTTTTAAGTCGTCAGTCAATCGTTATCTTGCTCTACAATCTTCATCTTTTCTCTTCCAGTAACTTTCAACACCAATTAGTGGTTGCCTGCAGCATTGTTGGAAGCGAAGATAATTAAATATATATATATATATATATATATATATATATATATATATATATATATATATATATATATATATATATATATATATATATATATATATATATATATATATATATATATATATATATATATATATATATATAGTTTATTTGTTTCATTATTATTATTTTCTTAGTTACTTACTGTAAATTTTAAGGTAAAAGTACAAAACAACTACAACAACAAAAAGATAAATAGTTCAAAATTTAAAAAGGAGAAAAACAGAACATTTGGAATGTTCTCTTCAAGAGTTATACCCCGTTCATACTGACGATAAAACACGTTTTATTTTAAATGCGTGTTAAATTGTTATGGTAAAAAGGTGTATAAAACAACAATAAAACAATACTGCGAGGTTGTTTTTTCAATATAAAAAGCTTGTGCTAGTAGAAAACAACCTCGCCATGTTGCTTTATTGATGTTTTATACAGTTTATAACATTAAAAAAGATCAAACGCGTTTAAAACAAGACGTGTTTTACCGTCAATGTGGACGGGGTATTAGTTTGAAATGATTCTCTGTTTTTATTTTTATATTTTATCATTCTATTCAGAATTTCAAAGTTTTTTCACTCAGAACCGCAAAACGAGCTCTCTTTTTTGCATTCTTTAAGTTTTCAAAACATACTCCAAAACGATTACGGCACACTTGCTGGACATCATCTACAGAAACGTGTTTTACCTTGGGATTGTTTAGCTGAGACCCAATAATACCATAGTTGATTTGCTGTTATAAAGACAAATAAATAAGTTCAATTTATTTTGGTGTACATATTTTATTACGTCTTGAGTTTGAGTCATAAAGCTTTACTGAAAGAGGAAAATTTATTGCTAATGTTAATGTCATCATGGATCAACTTTTAGTTTAGCCTGAAAGCGGAAAAAATGTTTATTCTCTATTAATCTCTCGTTTTGGATTTCTTGTTTATCTTGTTAATAAAGTTTCATCTTGTTTAATGTTACGTTTAAACATCATCTTGTTCAAGAAGTTACATATACCATTTTTATACTCAGTACTTAATTTTTAGTTTTCTTTTTGTGTCATTGCCAATATATTAGTGCGGTACTTTTTTTAAATGTTATATTATAATTATTTTCTATTTATGGAGGTTTAATTGAATTATTAATTAATTAATTAATAATTATATAAGTTTCATTATTTTGTTTTTAAAATAATTTGATTAAGTAGTAAAAAAAACCTTATTAAATTTATTTAGTTTTTCATTTTCAATTTATTTTTTGGAGAATTTTTTTTTACCTTTACTTGTTTTTAAAAAAAATCTATTTATAGCATACAGAACACAAAATCTGTAAAAGTCACTGAAAATGAGTTCACACATTAACACGCCTAAGTGTAAATTTTAACAGCTATTTATCAGTAAGAGTCTGGAAAAATGAATAGACACATTAACACGTATAAATGTATATAAGTTATTAAAAAAACACGTTCTTTTTACAAACTTAAAATGTGAACATTTATAAATTTTATCAAGAACAAAACATAAATTTTTTGTTTCTTAAGAAACAAAAATTTAATGTTTTATTCTTAATAAAAATACTTTTTTTATAATTGTGTAAATTCAGGAAATTATTTTACTTTATAGTAATTATTGTTTTATCAACACAGTCTATAATAAAAGATCATACGAATATGTCAGGGCTTGTCATATGTGTAGCTTTATTTGTTGAAACTTGAAGTTTAAAAGGTAAACATTACTTTTGATTTATGCAAAGGTGATTTTTTTTAAAGCCATGTTTAATAATTAAAAAACAAAAAAACAATGCTTTTTCCAAGCAAGTTCTTGCTAATAATTTTCATAAAAGAAACTTTATCCTGTTCACCATCTTGTAAACCAAAAGACTGCATTTTATCAAATTGGAGTTCGTGGACATTATGCTCTGCTTCATGTGGTCCTTCAGGAGCACGGCAACGAACAAGATTTGTTCAAGAACAACCTGAATGCAACGGGAATTGCAATAAAGCTCTAAAAGAGACAGAAAATTGCAATACAAAGTGTTGCCCTACGAACTGTACTTTTACATATGGTGATTGGAGTCCTTGTATAGGATGTGGGCTGCACGGTACAAGATCTAGAGCCAAATCAATACAATCACCAGCCTCTTGTGGTGGATTTTGTTTAAATACAAACGTTGAAATTGAGTCATGTGACACTAAAAGGTTAGTTTAAAAATTATATATACATATTTTATAATCAAGTATTATTACCCAGCAAACATTCTATAGCGGAATTTTAGTGGACCTATAAAAGCATTTTAGGCGGTCCACTGTAGTTTTGCTCATCGGTTACTTAGTTGACTATTAGTAGCAGCCGCTAAACATGGCTAGCCGATGACTAACCACTGTATCCCAATCTTAAAAGTTATCGGCTGACCACCAACAGCGGATGCCATTAATGGTCCACTAAGTAACAATCCAATGAACCGCTCAACATGCCTATAAAGGTCAACTGGAAATCACCTACTAAAATATTTGCTGGGTAACATACTAAATTACTGTATAAAAATTCTCATAAAATAGTGAACGTTTAGTTTAAAATTTAAATTTTTTTTTAACATTTTTTATTTTGATAAATAATGAACACATCATTTACCGATTCTTTATTTACCAGGTGCCTTTAGTTGCATTTTATTGACAGATTTTTTTATTAGTTGTTGATACATCTAATGTATCAACAACTAATTAAAAAATATTATTTATGATTTTTTAAAGTCATTTATTTATTTATAGCAACAACTATAATTGTTTATAGCAACAACTATAATTTTTTATAGCAACAACTATAATTGTTTAACAATAACTATTCTTCCCCAATTATTATCATAAATAAACAAACAAACAAAAAAAAGCTAATTTTTTAAATGTAAGAAAAATAAAATAAATATAATTAGTCATAAATATAATAAGTAATAACTAAATATATACAATTTTTTGTTTAATTTAACTATTACATATTCATGTTTATCATTAATGCCAATACCCTCAAAACAATTGAACGACTGTTGTTAGATGTCAAATAAATAAGAACAAAACTTGAAAGGCTTCAAAATGCTTTCTCGGCTTACTTTAGTAAATATATAATAATTGTCTTCATCGTCAGATTCATACATGATAAGAATATAGCATCAAAAAAAAAATTAATACAAAATTATCAGAGGCGGGCGGAAATATCTTACACGAGAGGGACTACTTTACCCCCACTTTTATCTGACCGTATTGATGGGGTGACTTTTTAGAACTCTTCCATATCTTTTATCGACAAAATGTTCTTTATATTTTTTATTTTAAGTTTTTGATATTTACAACAATATCATCATTTGATCTTAGTTTAGTCTCCGTTTATCTCAGTTTAGTCTCCACTTATCTTAACTTGTCTTTGTTTAATCTTTCTATTAAATTTAACCTAGTAAATTTAGGGGCGCGCATTTATTATTATTATTATAATTAACTGGTTAGGAGTTATAAATTACAGTGTTATGGAATCAGAGAATCAGTGGCATGGGTGTTTATATTTTAGATTTTTTAAACTCGTGAGTAAACAATGTTCGTGTTAAACAATATTATCAAAATATTATTGCTTGCATATTGCTTAAAGATAAAAAATTTTACACTTGTAGCTTAGGCTTTGCACAAATAAAAGTTAAAAATATTTCAATAGTTTATTAATGTTGTTTATATGTAATATTACATAATATATACAATGATTACTTGTTCAAAGGTTTATTTACTTAAATGACGTTTTTTAAAGGTACGATAAGTAATACAATTTTATTCAATAATTTTACATTACAGACATGATGAAAAAGTTGCTTGCAACTTTTTAGTATCTTATTATATAAGTTTTCCAACATTAGTATAAAAATTCTTCAAAATAATAACATTAAATCGTATTCTCACAAACTGTTATTTTACCCGTATATGTGACCAAATTTATGCAAAGATAAAATATGTTTTAACTTTATTTATAATACTATTTAAGTATCAATAGGGTAGATTAGGGTAATATGAGCACCTTAAACGAAAGTTGGAATATTTTCAAAAATAATTATGCTGGATCCAAAATTTTTACGAATAAACGATTTTTAGAGATCCCTACTCATGATCCACTTAGATATTTGGGCACCCGAAATTTTTTCTTAAAAACACAGAGGTTTTAAAAAAGGAGCAAAAGTCCTCATATTACCAAGACCACTTGGTAATATGAGTACTTTAAATTAGCTTAAAAAAATAACATTAATTAAGTAATAAAAAACCAACCACAGTTAGAACTAATTTTTGGATTATAATGATTTGTTATTGATAAAACTTATCATTAAAATATCAAATTTTTGAACCACTTTTTGTTGAAACAATACTAACTAAACAATAAACCTACTATATTTTTCGCAAAAAAAAAAAAAAAAAATTAGTTTGTTATTTTTTCAATTGAAACCTTTAAACAATAAAAATTCAGAACTTTTGAATTTAAATTACAGAAAAATATTTAACATTGTTGAAATATTAAAATTTTTTACTATGTTTTGTTTTTATTCAAAAAGCAATAAAAAACACTGCTATTTTAGGACTTTAAGTTAGGTAATTTCAATAAAAAACACTGGGTAATTTGAGCATTTGAGCATATTACACAAAAATAGCATCTTTTAATAAAGTCAAAACTAAATGTTTCTATACGTTGTTTTTCAAACAAAAATGGATTGGATTTTTAGCTAATATGTTTTTCTTTATGAAAAAATTAATTTCATTATTTTAGCAGCAAAATTTCGCGCCACAAATTTATTCATGCCTGATAATATTATTTTAACAAAGCAAAAAATTTATCAGCATTTTAATTAGATTATAGCCGCTAATTACTGCATATAAATTTACGTAAACTGTACTGATTCCTGTTATCAACACATAAAGTCGATTAAAAAAATACAAAGCAACTTTAACTTCACTGCCAAGTATTAAATTACCAAGGCGCTCATATTACCCTAATCTACCCTATACTATAAAATAATAGAACGGGACCAATTTATGGCCTGTTTAATATTTTCAATAAGGTAGTTGAACTTTTTGAGATATTAACATTATTTTATGAAACATCATCTGTAAACATTTGTACATGTTAAAAATACATTAAAAATAGATTAAAATACCAAAAGAGAAAAAAAAGATCACTTTGGAATGTCTTCTTCAAGAGTATTTTTGAAAATTCTTTGTTGTTGCTTTTCATTCCAACATTGAGCTGCCTGTACTAAAATTTAATCAGTATCTTCAGGAATTATATTTTTTGAAATTTTAATTTTAACTTTCTTCTTAACCTGAATTAATTTTTCATATTAAGTTTATGAATATAATATTATTCCATGCACCAATCATAACTATGATTAATGCATAAAGCAATCAAGTCCAAAATAATGCACAGAGCACTCAAGTCCAAAATAACCTATAGTATCTGTAAAATAAACCTAGTTACAATAGTTCATAAATATTTAAAAAATATTTTATACAAAATTCATAATAAATCATAAACATGTTTTAAAAAAAAATTTTAAAACTTTTTAAAATTTTTAAATATTTTTCTTATTAAAAAAAAGTTATAATTAAAAAAAAAATTATATTGTTCAAATATTTGTTTAAGGTAAAACTTTTTTAATTTTCATTAATATTTATATCAATTCATAAAAAACTATATTTCCTTATGATTTTAGAGTTTTGCTAGATTGCGGGATATCGTGTGTTTCTCGTTGAGAAACTCACGATATCCCGCAGCACGATATCACGATACCCTGCAGCACGATATCACGATATCCCGCAGCGACTTGATGAGACTTAACCTAGACTTAAGTAGTCTCGTTACAAGATTAAGATTTAATTAAAGAAAAAAAAACTAAGAAGTAAAATAGATATTTATAAATAAGTCGAATGAATAAATATAGACAGTTTAGTGGTAATGGGGTTCAACCATTTTAAACTTTTTCGGTTATGATATCAAAAATACCTTTGCTTTTTTTTATTGATTAAAAAGTCTTTTTAGTTGTTGACTATTTTAAAATCTTTTAAAACACAAAAGCAAAGTAAGTGATAACTGATAGTTTTTTTTTTTTTTTTGTAATTCAAGACTTTTCATTATTTGCTGTTATATACAGGGGAGACAGGTAGTGCAATAACTATTTTTTGAAAATTTTTTGGAAGCATCACAACAAATTATAAAAGTTTAAAATAATTTTATCATTAATATAATTTTATAACATTACAATGTTAATTTATCATGACTCTGCCCTGCTGCTTTCTACATTTTAGATAAATGTAAAATGCACGCATAACATAGTAGCGCAAACTTTGAATCAATGCCCCTATCGGCACATCTAGTTTCTTTTTCGGAAATAAAACCTATATAGGCACGTGTTTTTCACGATCCAGGCGTAAACCAAAAGCACGTGTTTATTACGGACAGTTTTACTAGAGTTTAACACGTGTTATTTGAGGTTTTAAAGTCAAATTTAAATGTCGCATGTTTTTATCAGTGGTTTCACATTCCTTACGGAAAGTTATTACAATATAATACTACGTTTCCGTAACGGTGAAACCATTAATACTTTAACTGGTATTTATGGTAAATAGTAATAGTTAATTTCACGGAATAAAAACCATTTAGGATACGTGTTATTCTTTTTGTTTTAGAAGGTTTTAAAAACGCAACAGAAACCAAGCGTAACTATTTTCTGAGTTGTGCCGGCTGGGACGGTTCAAAACTCAGAATACGAACCAAAACTCACAATACTCTGAATACAATATTGTTTGTACTTTCAAGCTCTATTATTTAATTATATAAACCATTGCCCATGTTAGTTTAAGGTATGGAGTTTTTAAATTAAAAAGTAAACAATCCAAAGGTTTGATGAACTTGAAAAGAATGCAATTAATTGCTTTTTTAATGTTTTCAAGTATAATTAAAGCTATATATATTTTCAACTAAAAATTTAGGATATATATATACAACAAAATATATATGTACAACAAAATATATATGTACAACGAAATATATATGCACAACAAAATATATATGTACAACAAAATATATATGTACAACAAAATATATATGTACAACGAAATATATATGCACAACAAAATATATATGCACAACAAAATAAATATGTACAACAAAATATAATAAA